GTGGGTCTTCCTAATTCAGCTAGTCCTCTCTGGAAATGCCCTCAGACACAGTGTTGTCAACTGAACTGGATCTAGAATGAAATAGGAGACATGCTTCTAGATATATCTGTAGGGGATTATCTAGATCAGGCTAATCCTGGCTATGCCTATGAGAGGTTGTCTTGATTAGGTGGAAGTAGTTCCATTCCACCTCAATTACCTCAAGTAGGTACAACCATCCCTAGATTGGAGTCCTAGTCTTCATGGGAAGGAGAAAGCTAGCTAAATACAAGCATCCGTCACTTTTTCCTAACTATAGATGCAATGTGACCAGCTGCTTTGCGCTCCTAGCACTCTAATATCCTTGTCCCTGTCATTCTGGAACTGAGAATCAAAATAAACCCTTTTCTTTAAATTGCTTTGGTCAGGTATTATGTCATAGCAACATGTAACTAGTTCACTAATACCCCAAACACTTATCAACCTAATCAAGTTTATAACTGATATTAGCCAACAGAGATACCAGTTGCAAATCTACTCTCTGGCTCTAGACCACCAAAAGGAAAAACTGCAGGCCAAGAGTGATTAAACATGCCTTTGATCTAGCACTCAGAAGGCAGAGGTAAGTGAATCTCTGGAAGTTAAAGGTCAGCTAGTCTACATGGTGAGTTTTAGAATAGCCAAAGCTATATAGTGAGAGAGATCTTCTCTCAAAAAAGACAAAAACCCAACAGAAATTTAAAGGAAAACAAAACAAGAACTGCAATCAATTATATGTACAAGCTGAGGTCCTGGTCTAATTTCCAAGTACCATAAAAATAACTACCAGACAGAACTGACACACGTACTCTCAAAGTCAGTGTTTAGCCTGGCTTTCTACATGTATGCCAAGAGAGGGGTACTGAGGAGAGGCTGAAGAATGAATCTGGAAATTTGGAGAAAACATGAACAAGAGCAGTAAATTTGACATAGAAATTGTTTCGAACCTTTCTAAATTTTAAATTTTCCTCAAATATATGGGGAATATATAGTATTTGCTAGCATTTATGCTTCTACACCATGTGCATAAAGTACCTAAGAAAGCAGAAAAGGACTTTGGATCCCTGGAACTACAATTACAGTGAGGCACTATGTGGATGCTGGGAATTGAACTGGGGTCCTCTGCCAGAACAGCCAGTGTTTAATCACGGCAACTCCTAATTTTCCACTTAGTGATTACAATGGCTCAAGAAAAAACACAGCTGGTATTCTTAGGATGAACACATTAAGTGGCTTTAAAGCAAATCTCATCATATTCTATGAAAAACAGAAATTCAGATTCTGCTAGGTACTTATCACTGACAACATATAAGATGCTACTTAAGGGAAGAAAAGCAGGTGTTAGAAGGGTCACAGCTTAGGTACAGGATTAAAAGCAGAACGTGAGAAAATATACTTGAATTAGAAAGATTAAATCTAAGTCCCACCATATGGCTTCTAAATGTGGGTCAATGTCCAGTTTAGACATACAAGAGTAACAACTCTCCATAATCCAAAACAAGTACTAAACTACAACTCATGTTAAAATTACAAATAAGGGGTGGCTCAGCAGTTAAGGGCATTGGCTACTCTTCCAAGGGGACCCTAGTTCAATTCCCAGCACCCACATGGCAGCTCACAACTGTTTGTAACATGGTGGATCTGACTTCCTCACACACACATACAGGTAGGCCAATGCACATAAAAAAATTTACAAATGACTTCAATCTCTATAGATGTTTAGGAAAAGAATTTAAATGACAAAGTGGAGGCTTTGTAAACTGGAAGCCATGAAAATCCTAGAAGAGAAAGAAGACTTTTGAAGAACTAGAGAGCTCTCTAGAGTCCAGAAAACCCAAGTTTGATTCACAGTACCCACATGGTGGCTCACAAGTACTGGAAGATCCACCCTCTTCTGGCCTCCTGTGGTACTGCATGCACACAAAGACTTACAACACACCCATACATGTAAGCTTCACTAAAGAGCCTAGCAGAAGAATCAGTGACTAGAAACCAGACCAATAAAAGTATCCAAATTAATATTAAAAGAGAAAAAACATGGGAAAAAAAAACTAGCTTCAATGTCAGTATCAGGTTATCTAACAGAGTACAGTAGAGAATGAATGGGACTGAAAGACATTATTTGAAAAATGGATGAGAATTCAGTTAGAATCTAAGTACTGATTGTGGCTGTGTATACCTGTAATCTCAGCACTTGGAGCTGAAGCAAGATATTAATTTCAAAGACAATCAATCAGGGATACACAATAAAACCCTATTCATAATAAAACAAGTAACCCCCCCCCCATAAACCCAGAATTGGTTTTTTGAAAGGATTAAAACGGGCCTCAGCCTATTATCCTTCTATTATTAATGTGTCTATATAGTGGAGCCTGACATGGTGGCACAGGCCTTTAATGCCAGCACTCAAGAGGCAGACAGATCTAAGTTTGAGGCCAGTCTAGTCTACCTGTTGAGTTCCATGGTGGCCACAGAACTAAAGACTGTCAAAAAACAAAAACAAGATGGTGGCCTTGAAGATATTAGTGAGAACCTTATGACCAGGATCCCTGAAACCCATATAAAAATGCCACTGAAATGGTGCATTGCTAATTTCCACATTCCTGTTGTCAGAAATACTTGGAGCTTGTAGGGAGCTATGAAGCCCAAAAGGAAACCAAGAGACCCTGCTTCAAAAGGTAGAAAGATCCTCTAAGAACACAGTTAATTGACCTAAAGGTCCTCACCTACAATGTTGGGTATTTCCTGAAATCAGTTCCATCACCTCTTGCTTAACACTTAGCATTTAGTAGGCACTTAATGGAATACAGCATCCAAAACTAGGTTTTTTCTTTACTATTTAAGGCCTTGGGAGCTCTGTTATTCCATGGCAAAGGGTTTACCGTTATCTGGATGTTAGCCTGTAAGATGCCAACCCCAGGGCTACAGAGCTAGCCGTTAAATATGTCCAAGTTCAATTTCCAGTACTCATTGTCCTGAAATTTTAACTAGTTCCAAGACAATCTGACCTCCCCCACCCCCAGCCTCTGGGTATCAAGCATACATACAGCACCCATACATGCAGACCAAAACCCACATAGAAAAGAAAATTAGTCCTTAAGAACTTGCCTTCTCCCCTTCCTTTCTACCTCAGTATAGGGTCAGAGCTATGGCCCCAGCATCTGTCTATTGTTCCTAAGGAGCAGGTAAACTGAAAACTACATTAGGCAACCTCAAATCGCTAGCATCTTTAGGAAGTACCATACTGAAAGGCTAGGTAAATAGTTAAAAAAAGGCTGCTATTGCTACTTAAAAAGCTTTGCTGCTTTTTAAAAACCTCTACACAATGCTATGGCTATTCAACAACCAGAATGAGTTTGGTGTTCATAACTGCCTTTCCTCTACCCTTTCTTCAAGTTCTCATGTCCTTATGTTGCCACCTGCTGAAACAATGAGAAAAGGAAACCACCACTTCTGGAAGTTTACTGCTTTTCTAAAATGTCCACGGCCTTAGCAGTCCCTCCAGTTTAGGGGGAACTATTCAACTGTAAATCTTATGACCCTGCAGGTTATCTCAATCCACAAAAATTATATGCCTGCTTAGCACCAGAATCATACCATTTCTTTGGTGTAGTCTTGGGGTCTTCTATGTAGCCCTGGCTATTTGGAACTCTACAGGGTAGCCTCAAATTGGTCTGCCTTATGTGACTAAAGGCAGTTGGATACCCACAGCTATAAGCTGTTAACCTTTTTTAACTAGGAGGCTAGCAGAACCAAGAGCTACCCACCTCACAGCGAAAAGAACCTACCAAACTGCTCCCCACTATACAAATCTAGTGCCCATCTACCTTACTTTTAGATAGGAGACTGCACTGGCCATACCACATACTCAAGCCACCAGACAGGTTCTAAGAGCTATCCTACAGAGGCTCTTTGGGTTTGTTGATAAAGGGACTCAAAAACAGCTGACTGGCCTTTCTTGAAAGTCAATTTGTTGGGAGTGGGACATGGAAAAACACCTACAGTAAATAGTTTCTATTAAGGTTATCTAGGCACCCATGTCCTGTACTAAAAAAAATAAAAAAAAATAAAAATGTGCATGATAGTACACCCTTGATAGACCACTGAAAGTCCAAGGGCCAATGTACTGCTAATTATACTGGACCTCTACAACACAAACTTCCTGTTAAACTAAGTCAAAAAGGCCACCGTTCCCTCTCTGCAATTAGATAAATACCATACATAACCAGCTGCCACATACAAACTGTTTCCCAAAGCTTCTCTAAAATTTGAAAGGTTTTGTTTTTGGCTTTTTCAACACAGGTTTCTATGTATCCATCACTATCCTGCAACTCAGTTCTGTGGACCCAACTGGCATTGAACTCAGAGACTGCCTTTGCCTCCTGTGGGATTAGATTGTGTCACTACCACCTAGCTGCTAAGATTTGGTACTCAGTGGTCAAAACTTTGTATTTGGTTACTTGTGTGAGCTCTTTTCCTTGGTTTTTCAAGACAGGATTTGTTTCTCTAACAAACAGCCCTGACTGTTCTGGAACTCATTCTGTACACCAGGCTGGTCTTAAAGTCAGATCTGCCTGCCTCTCCCAAGTGCTGGGGTTAAAGGCACGTGATACTGGCTGTATCAATTTTTCAACCCAGTGGGTACCATGCCTTGTCCAGGACATTTCAGATTACACTATACTGCACTTGTGCTGAGAATAGAAGTGTGTATGTATCCCACACAAGCTTGTATGGCATTTCCAGCACTGATCCATGTGCTCTATCAACCACTTGTCCAGTACACACCCATCTAAGGTACAAATGAAATATTAAATCTTCCAGATCAAAATCATGATGAAGCTGCCCCCCCAACAACCAATTTGCACTTTTGTAGCTGGTATTCTTGAAAGCAGTAGGAACACAACTCAAATTCCCACTGGGCAGAGTTGGTCTTGCCAAGCTCTTAAGCAACGATCCAAATGTAACCTCTAGGAAGTATTAAGTCTGGCAACAAGAGTTTAGGATCTTTACTGTCTTGGAATGTCCTTAGAAGGCTCTGTCATTAACAGGTAACAGAGTAAAAACCCCAGAGTCCTTTCTTTAAAATGAAGAGGGAAAGAATGGGATGGAAGGAACTATTCAAACTTCGTCTTCTTTCCTTGTGGCTTGAAGTCACCCCCTCCTCCTCCTCTGCCGCCTCGGAAGCCTCCTCTGCCTATAGGAAGGAAAAACATCATGAAAGGGTGATAAATTAGGAAATGACCTCCCCACTCAAGATGGTGGTTAGGACATAGGTTTAGCAATCACAGAGGTTCCAGTTTTTTTCCCTTCCTTACCTCCAAAGCCTCCCCGGCCTCTTCCGCCAAATCCGCCTCTTCCACCTCTGCCACCACCTCTGCCTCCAAAACCTCCTCTGCCTCCACCTCGACCACCAAAGCCACCTTCACCCTTAGGTTTGGCCCAGTCCAAGGTAACTTTGTTTCCATCAATTTCTCCATCTTCCATGGCCTCCTTGGCCGCTTTAGCATCTTCCTCACTATTAAAGTCTACAAAACCAAACCTAAAACACAGTAAAAACCACCCATTTTAATTAAATTAAGTACATTTTAAAGTAACACAATAGCACCAAGTCAGAGTGACCATAGAAAGCACTCTTTAGGGAAGAAAAAAAAACCCTTCTATCTCAGATTGTCTCACACAACAGCCAAATATACCTCTGCAAAAAACAGAAGGTAAGTGCTAGTTATGTGAACTCTCTCTTCTTCTCGTGCGAATCCATAATCTGTCACCGGTTGACAGAAAGGAGCTCAATGAGAAGATACTGCAGACCAAGTTCTCCATGCAAAATTCACTAAAAAGAATCAACACTATGCCTTCTTACCCTTTAGAAGAACCAGTTTCCCGATCAGTGACTATTCTTGCACGAACAGAGCCCTCAAATGATTCTTTTAAGGTCTCTTCAGTGGTATCCTCAGACAGACCTTTGACAAACAGAGTTTTGGATGGCTCTAGAAGAGAAAAATGCCTATTTTATTATAGGTTTCACTATGAACCCTTGGTGAGTACTGCCACATTCTGCTGAAGTCGATTCCTTTTTTAAAAAAATTATTTTTATGTGCACTTAGTGTTTTGTCTGCATACCTCTAGAGAGTGTCAGATCTTAAGGCAAG